CCTTCAGCATTATCTTGTGCTTCAGCTCCTGCGGGGTTGTGGGTGGAGAGGTAGCCAGCTTGGGGTGCCCATCTACTCCATGGCACCTGCTGTCCCCCAGGACCCTGCACTGCTGGGGACTGGCACCACCAGCTCCCTGCAGCACCAAGGAGGGGATGGGGTAGGAGGGCTCTATCCTGCCGTCCCTCTAGCTTTGCAGGACACAGGGAGACAACCATGGGGACAGCTTTGGGACCCCTATGAAAAGGGGGTTCATATGAAGAGGGACCCCTATGACAGTGTCCCCAGAGTCCTCAAGTGTTCCAGCACAGCAGGATGATGCTGGAACAGAGCTGGCCTTTCCTCTGGATAGCAGAGCCACCTCCTCACCCCTCTCCCAGGAAGGACAGCAACATCCAGTGTGGCCACTCTGTCCCTACCTCTGGGGATGGGAGCTTGGTGGGAACGCGCCCATCTGTGGTGGTAGTAAGGAGCTGTTCCCCCAGGATGGTCTTGAGCTGCTGGGCCAGGACCTCCTGCTGCTCCATGCTGCAGTGGTTCTCCAGGGACAAGATCACCGGGTAGTCTGAGGTCTGGGAAGCAATATGTACAGCTGGAGGTCAGGTTTGATGGGGTTGAGGAGCTCTCACAAGGTGCAATCAGTGCCAGGATGGAGCCCCTTCTGTGTCCTAGTATCCCCCTGAGACCTTCTTACCTCTCCAGTCCCCCAGCATCCCCCATATCCCATGTCACCCCTGCGTTGTCCATGTCCCGTGTCACCCCTGCACCCCAAGCGGACCGTGCCTGCATGAGCCCCGGTCCCCTGGCAGAGCAGAGCACAGGGCTGAGGGTCAGACCCCTGGGATGTCCCCTGGGAAAGGGACACAGCCACTCTCCTCACCCACAGTGGAGGCAGTCCTGCTGCAGCACCAGGCGTGTGAGCTCCAGTACCACTCCCCCTCCAGAGACCCTTCACTGACCCAGATGGCAGCCATGTCTCCCCTGCCCACGAAGGGCCACCCACAGCACCCAGAAGCCAGGGAAGGGTGCCCTACCTTGAAGGCGTACTTCCCCAGGGTGCTCACCACCTCCCGGAAGGGGATCTTGGAGGTGAAGGTGTGGCCGTGGTACACCATGGGCTCCCCGTTTGGCCCGTCCCAGCAATCAACCTCCAGGCACCGGCAGCCCCGTTTCAGAGCCCTGTGGGTGGGTGGTCATCCCTGGGTCCTCACACCTGGCCAGGGCAGCAGCCCCCTGCCCTCGCCTCTGGCTGTGGGCATCACCCCTGCAGGGACCAGGGGACGACCGCCAAGGGTGGAGATGCTGCTGCATGCAGGGCTAAGCATCCCCAAAAGGAACCCCCTTGCTGGACACCACGCGGCATGGCCACAAGGATGCTGGACAAAGGAGTGGGCAACGGAGTTTCTCCTCTTGGTGGGTTTGCGTCATGGAGCTGCCCAGGGCATGGCACTGGGGCAGGAGAGTGTCAGGGGGCAGCTGGGAGGGAGCAGCCCCTTTACCTGATGTAGCCCTCGATGCTGCTGTGGCCCCGGATCTGGTCCTCTATCAGGTAGGTGTTGTGGGAGGAGGAGATGAAGTAGTGGCACAGGGGCTGGCTCATGTTGCCCTGCCACAGCACCCGGTGCCGGGGGTTGAAGATGGAGCCCTCCGGGGAGCAGAGGTACATGAGGAACCCATCAACACTGAGCACGTGGCGAGCCCGGGCTGCAGGCAGAGGAGGAGACTCAGCGACAGCCGGGTACCCAGCGCAGGACAAAGAGGGCTACTGCTGGTTCCTGGCATCCCCAACCTGGTGAGCATCACAGGGAGAGATGCTCCCAGGCAGCAGCCATGAGAAGGTGGGGAACAGACTCCAAAGCAGGAGGCTGCACCCCGTGGCTGGTCAACCTTCTACACCCAAATGGTCCAGGAATGGACCAAAAAAGAGGGAACTGCAC